ATTGTTTCTGTGTGCTCGGGTTCAAACACCCTGCCCACTGTATTTTCTGTGTTGCAAGTAACAAAGTATAAGGCCTTTTACTGAGCCACGAATAAGGCTATATACCACGGCAGGACAATTGCTTCTGCAAATGCAGCAACGCTCTGGTTGGGTTGTAATAAACTTTAATACTTTGAGTTAATTTTTTTCTGTGCATTAAAACAATATAAAGATGCTTTTCCGTCCACACAGATAAACAGTCGAGTCAGCAAACCATCAAAGTCGTTAGTCAGCTACGTCCTTAACTTTCACCATCGTTCTTTGTGTGTCTCGTCTTTAGAGGGTCATGGAGACTCCAATAGTGAGGAGTCAGACAGTGATGTCTCTGACGTCCCGGAGCTGGACTCTGACATCGAGCAGGAGACACAGATCAACTACGAGCGACAGGTAACTGGATTTTTCCTGGATGGTTTCTGTTTCCATCGGTCTGCAGGGTTCTGGAAAACACGCCTTATCTGCACGAAGCAGCTGCTGCCTGCCAGGCATCCCGTCGCTGCAGCCAATGTTGCATCAATAAGCTGTTTGGAGATTGGTGGTTAGCGCTTTCTATTTAATCAGAAACAGGCAGAATAATGAACTTTTATTGATTCATTTTCTCCTGGTTTGATCCTCTCTCCTATCAAGTCACTTTAATTGTTCTGCTCTGTTAGGATGGAAATATTAGAGCATGCATAGCCTAAATGAATGCTGATGGTAAACATCCCTCCTCTGGAGTGAAGAGGAGGCAGCGGGGGGGGGGGGTACGCTCCAGTCATAGTTAAATGTTCTGCTGCTCCCAGCGCTGACCCGGCACAGCGCTCCAGAAATACTCTGTCTGGAAAATGGAAAGCAGTGAGGAAGTAGAGCGCTCCCTTCCTCCTGGGAGGAAGAGGAGTGAAATTGTCATGCGGCTGCAGCTCGCAGACTGAAGCAGAGCTGAAGGAGCAGACGGGTCGGCTGCTAAGGGAGGAAACACTGCCACCGTTCAAGCAGCTTCTCCTGTTTCACTTCTTTATTTGAACTGAATAAAATTGGGAAATCAAGACTTCACTGGAAAAACAATCTAGAAATAAGTAAACATTTCTTAAATTAAGTGTATTTAACCTTAATTAGAGTATTTAAATTAAAACGTTTGCCAATGGAATGAGTATTTTTACTCTTAAAATAAGATAATTAGATCAAATGCACTTGAAATAAGACAATGTATCTATGTTTTCTTATTTTAAGTGTAACTTGTATTGTTCCATTGGCAAAGTGTCTTACTTTCCTCCTCAATCCAAGAACAAATGAGCTTATTTGAAGAGAAAAAAGACTTATCTAGATTTCAATTTTTTTCCAGTGTTATTATATATGAATAACATATACATTGCACAGTCATTTTTTTCTTTAACTAAGTGCATCTTTTCTTTAATTGAAGAAGTAAGTGAGACACGTTCCCAATGGAACAAGACAATTTACATTTAAAAAGAGAAAAAACTATTGCATTGTCTTATTTCAAGTGCATGAATCTAATTATCCTATTTTAAGAGTAGAAAAACTAATTCCATCGGCAAATCTTATTTACCTGTTCAAATTAAAGTTAAATACATTTAATTTAAGCAATTTTTTACTAATTTCTAGATTGTTTTTGCAGGGTATTAGAGCTCTTGATGAGTTTATTAGCTCTGCATTTTCTAAAGATCAACATAGTGATGGGCTGCGGTTTGTGGTCCCACAGGTCTATAAGGAGGACCTGCTTCAGCTGCGGCAGCAGAGCAGAGAGAAGAAGCAGCAGGTGGGATCTCTGAAGAGGCAGAAAGGACCGGATCAGGGCCTCCGGCTGCAGTTTGTTCACGGGTAATTCCTCCTTTTATGTTTCTGGGTAGGTGCGTTATAACCTGAGCTTGATAACTCAGATAAATCCTCCTGATTCGGATCTCAGGATCTCAGCAAAGTGCTCATCAGATCCTGTTACGCCCTGTAGAGGTAATAACTGCTGCTGCTTTAAAAACCAACCATGACATCAATGTTGGACTGATCTTTCCTTTGTCACATTTGGAAAGAAACCTTCATAAAAAATAAAGAGTTTATTTAACTTATATTATACCTCTATTTCTAAGCAGTAGAACTCTGTAGAACCTTCTCTAAAACCAGGAACTCTCAGCTGAGTTTTACTGTCTGAATTCATCAGTTCCTTCCATCATGTGGAGGAATTTTGGTCCACCCTTCTGTCCAGTATGGCTCCACCTTCAGTAAACGGGGTTTGAACACAGCGTCTGAGCATCGCCACACGGCGGCTCTAGCAGGTTAAGATCTGGTCTTGGGCCAATCAGCTGTAGATCTGCTTCTGTGTTTGGGATCCTGTTGAGGAGCCGTTTTACCTCCGTTTATTTAACTTTGGTGAAACGTTCACCCCATTTGGACCGAGCTTCAGCCTCTGGACGGATGGACTCACAATGAAACCTGCGTCAAACCCTTTGCATTTATGTGAAATGGAAAACCTTCCAGCTTGAAACACAAGATGGTGGCAGCGTCATGGCATGCTGTGGAAAGGATTTCTCTTCAGGGACCAGGCAGCGGCTTGGAGAAGAGAAGATGGGTGGCTCTAAAAGAATGATGGGTGGGGTTAAAGAAAAGATGGGTGGACTAAAGGAGTGATGGGTATGGCTAAAGAAAAGATGGGTGGAGCTGAAGGCAATATCTTAGGGGCTTAATAAAATATGGGTGGGGCTAACTGTAAAATGGTTTGAGCTAATGAGAAGATAAGTGGAGATTGTCATGATTTAACTAAAGATTTGAAACAAATGCTGAAGACCAAACAGAGAGACCAGGAAATGTTTTATTCAGAGCAAGTAGAGAGGAGGACAGTGCTGCTCTAAACACCGTCAAACCGGGAGTAAAAAGAGAAGGGAAGATTCTGCGGTTAGTTCAGGGTCAGTGGGAAATTTGTGTTTTCTTGATTGAAGAAGGGAATTAAGGTTGCCGACTCACGTTTTCTTATTGAATCCAGTCGGTGTGGGTTGTTCCAGTGAATGACTTGTTTGTTGGAGGGCGGACAGGGTTTACCCAGATTGCTGTTGTTCCTTGGTGAACGGAAAATATGAAGCCACTTAGTTTTCCTGCGGTACTTGAACAGGTTATTGTGGAGATGAATCCCCTGCTCAGAGAGAAGCCCAAAACAATCCTTCAGGGGAAAAGGTAGATCCAAACCACAAGCTTGAATCCTCAGCTCAGTTTGGTGCTCAGAGAATCCTTCCAGGGGGAGAAGGTCCCAAACATCCAGTTTGCAGGATGACTTCCTGCCAAAAGGCAAAGACAAAAACAGCAAGGTTAAAACTCAAGTAGACAAAAACTCAGTTTGACTAGAGTACCCAAACTGACAAACACTCTGGCGTCCAGGTAGAGGCAGTCAGCAGCTTAAGAGTCCTCAGGTAATGAGGCAACGAGCTGCAGGTGTGCAGGGAGGCCCAATGAGGACGGGGCACCACCTGGTGGAGGAGGAAAGGAAACACAAAAACAGACCACACAAACTGGATTCCTGACAGAGATAAAAGAATACGGGTGGAGATGTGGGTGGAACTACATGTACGATGGGTGGGGCTAATAGGAAGATGGGTGGAGCTAAGGGGAGATGGGTTGAGCTAAATGGAAGATGGACGAGAAGATGGCGAGAGAGGAATAATCAAAGTCCTGATCCAAATAAAACCAAAAATCTGCTGCAACACTTGAAAAAAATGAAATTAGCCTTTGTTATAAAAATATTTACAATACAAGCCCGCATGATCACCCTCCACTGCCGTGTTTTACAGCTGGTTTGAGCTTTTTGTGCTGTTGCTGTGTCTGTTTTCTACAAACATGGGTTGCTACATTAGGAACAAACGTATCTATATTGGTCTCATTCATCCTGAAAATGTTTTCTAAAAGATGTTTTAGTGTAATACATCTGTTAATTTAAATGTTTTTATTTAGGCTCCTTTGGCCCTTCCTAACGCTGCTGCTTTTTATCAGCTGTATGTTGTGTCTGTGTGCAGATATCGAGGTTTCGACTGCAGGAACAACCTGTTCTACACCCAGAGCGGCGAGGTGGTGTACCATGTGGCGGCGGTGGGTGTGGTTTACAACCGGCAGCTGCACAGCCAGCGTTTCTACCTGGGCCATGATGACGACATCCTGAGCCTGAGCATCCACCCGCTGAAGGACTACGCTGCAACAGGACAGGTGGTCCAAACGCTCAGAAGCAGACACCAGCCGTCTGATCCTGGAGTTCCTCCAATCCCTGCACTGTTTATACATCATGCTACATTTTAGCTGCTTCAGCTCTGCAGGCATTTCCAGGATCATCAGGGATGCATATGATGCCAGTTTTTATTTTCAGATCATCCATGCATCAATCCTGACATTTTATAAAGTGCCATGAGAACCCTTTAATTAGCAGAGCATGAAATCACCATTTAGGAACGGGGATGAAAAACTTCTCGGTCCCAAACAAACAGACACATCGTCCTCCTTCTATCCTCTCTGATTAAAACGGAGCCATCAGGTTTTTATCTGAAGGTTTCAGTCCCACAACCTTCCTGATCCTCTGTCTGCAGGTGGGCAGAGACCCAGCCGTCCACGTTTGGGACGTCCAGACCCTGAAGTGTCTGTCGCTGCTTAGGGGTCACCATCACAGAGGCGTGTGTGCGCTGGACTTCTCAGGTAACGTTTGTGGTCAGAAACTTTAGATTTGTCTTATCTCATATATTGATTTATGCTATTTACTCATTATAAACGTTTTCAATCTGTTTCACCTTCTTTTCATTATAAATCAGATTATTTCTCAAGGTTTATTCATAACGTTACTGTTTGTAATTTGTTTTGACTATTATTGTTCCTCCTTAGTTACTTATTGTAACTAAGGAGGAACGAACGCTGCTCAGGCAGAACAGGGCTGATTACCGAGCAATAATAGCCGTATGATGAACTGTTCTCTCTTTGCAAAGATATGAATAAATGTGCCGACTGAGTGGAATCCATCAAGCTCCGTTTATTTAACTGGGGTGAATAGTTGAATACTTTTTTACCGTGACACATTCAAGGTTTTTTTTTTCCTAAAAGTGAAGCTTATTCTCTCATTCAGTATTGTAGAAAGTTGAAGTAATAATTTTAAAATCACTTTGTCTTCTTGGTTATTAAGCATGTCTGACTAAAACTGTTAAGATTTTTTTTTTTTTTTCCAGATTGATAACTTCTTAACAAAGGTTAAAAATAAAACTATCTGACTGCTGAGTGATAAATTCTCTGCTGGTTTTAAATCTTTTCTGGAGGTTAGGTCAGTGATTTTATAACAGACATCTCCTATCACTGCAGCAGAGATCTGGATTAAGATGGCTGAACCCCTGTGACCTTTCACCCTTCATTAGCCTCCGCTGTGATGCTCCCTTCTTCTCTGTTTGTCCTCCCAGCTGATGGAAAGAGTCTGGTTTCCGTCGGAGTGGATGACGGACATTCCATCGTCGTTTGGGACTGGAAGCGAGGAGAGAAACTGGCTACGGCTCGGTACTGAAAACCCAAAAACATCCAAAACACTGATAGACGAGTTTAAAGCATAATTCATCCACCTGCTACAGTTAAAGGAAAAGTTTGATCAGCAAGGAAAAACCAATGGATCATTATTTATACCAAAAACTAATACATCTGCAGTGATTTTATGAATTTAGTGTTAATCAGTAAAAAAAAATATAAAAGTCTGGGAGCGGCCATTTTTGCCCAAATATAGTAGCCCCTCCCTCCTGCCATCTTCCAGCAGTGA